CGATTGTTATTGAAAATCAGTGAATGGTTGCTATTGTCAGTTGGCATTATACTAATGCGTGGTTTTAAATTTTAATCATAAAAATAGAATATGGACACCGGTAAATAATTTTATTCGTTCGAAATTACATTCTATTATTAATGAAGTCTGTAAAAGATAATAAGCAGAAATTTCAAATAGATTTTAAGTTAGGTTTCAATTTGGGTTTTAAAAGGATGAAAAGAGAATCTCCTACTCGTCTTTTTCTTATATCAAAAAATATCAACACAAGTCGACAATGTAAAAAAGAACAGCTGTGCCGAGTAGAAGATTTATTTATCACGCACCCTTTCTTACAAAGCATAAGTAAATAAATACAAATCTTTAGGATAGATTTTATTTCTAGTAAAGTGATCTTAAGGGATATCGCTCAGTTGATTATGAACGTTATCACCAAAGCGATATCTACTGTAGAATTTGTTATTGGGTGATAATTACATATGTTTATACAGAATACTGGGTGCGAGGTACACGGATAGTATCAAACTCGACAGAGTTAAAACAAGGTTTCCGTAATATCCTTATAAAACAGATTTGGATAGTATACTTCTGGTATCTCTCACAAAAATATGCACACACGCGTGTACTCGTTCGCTTTATCCGGTCCACGAAGCTCTTTTTAAGAAATGAAAGCGGTTAAACGTCCAACCTTTCTGCGCGATTCTGGTTAGTGATCCACTGTGGCCCCATTTTGTTTAGTGGGCTGGATAATTTATGAGCTGTGGATCAAAAGCTTGTTATCCATGCAAGTCACGAGTTCAAATCCACACTTATACGTGACAATGGTAGAGTCGGGTATCTGACATCGTCTCGGAAGTGTTATAAGATGTTTTTTTTTTCTTTTTGTAAGTTGTACTCGTTTACGTACAAGTAACAATAACCTTGGCAGTTGGAATTCAGTTAAGATAAAGCTTAAATGCCACTGTACGAACAAAATGTCCCTCATAGTAGCCTACACTGTATGGCATATGTCCATCTTCATTATCCCAATTGATTAAATTCCATTCCATTTCATTTCCCCAACTGGGTAAAATGAAAGATAATTACCATATGTTTAGTTGCAAATATAACCTAATGGAGTTAACGTGATATAAACCTAGGTTATTTGATTTCACAGTTATAGAACTAGAGTGACACGATGTCATCAAGATCAACATTGTGTACGGAATATTTCAATCATCCCGCTTATTTTTTACTAAATATTTTACAGTAACCTGTCGATCCTGTCTGACTTGTTTCCTTCTGTTGAGATTCTGTTGTTGACGATTAGATTTCTCAGTCTTCTTTATTGACATGAGTAGAATATAGTATACGCGATACCCACACAGATTCTAAATCAACTTGCCAGTTGAAAAAACAAACAATCGATTTGTCGTCTAAATGTTAAATCAAACCACAAAATGGTGCTTGGAGTTGTGCGAACATTATTAGTAAGAATTTGATAATCCTAACGAATCCTAGTCCTGGAACGTGATAAACATGTCTTACCCTTATAATCATATCGAATAGTGGAACATGATAATCTTGTCTAAACATAAAACTTTATAATATCATATCTAATTGTGGAACTTGATAATCCTGTTTACCACTGTCCGTAACTTGATAATCCTACGCAATTGTGGAAAGTGATAATCTTGTCTAATCCGGTAACTTTATAATCTTATCTTATAGTGGAACTTGATAATCCTTTCTAATCATGTAACTTTATAATCATATCTAATCGTGGAACTTGATAATCCTTTAACTTGATAATCCTGTCTATCTCTGTAACTTGATAACCTTATCCAACCCCGTATGTTAATAAGTGATGTAAGTAACCTTTAAATGACATTTATTGCAACACTCAACGGATTATGATACACCCTAGAATAAAGCATTGTTTGGGAAGCGCTCCATTTGTCGGGTTTTGTGGATTTTTTTTTCGTTTGGTTACCTGCCTTGGTCATTTTGATTAAAGCCTGTATTACTGAAGGTCCGGGACTGTACAGCACGGTGGAAGCTTACGGTCCGCCGTCGCAGTCATTAAATTGATTCGGTACTACTTTTATTATCCACTACTTACAATGTCAGTGTGTTATGTGATTGACCTGTAATCCGGTTTTCTGTTTCGTTTCTGTCTGTAGTGTAGTTGCCCTGCCGGTAATTACATGACTAGGAATAGAACAGGAATACATCAAAGCGACAATAATTTGTTGAACTGCGTCATTGAACCTTTGTTTTAATACAGTTTGCGGTCAATGTACATGAAAAGAAAATGACATTCCAATAACAAACGACATCTTTGATGTTCAGTTAGTTTGTGACATTATCTGGGGTTTATGCTCTGATCCATAAAAATGAGGACATTTTATGCCGGTCATCTTGCCCTCGTTATTATCCGAACTATAAGCCCAACAAGACACTGGCTCGCTAGCCTGGGGTCAGGGGTTCGCTCCCGGTGTTGGCCGAGAAAGTTTCTCGGGATTTTCCGGCTTTGGTTTTCCCCATTCTGCACACAGAGATCCATCTACTTCATACTTCGAGAATAGATCACTGCCCTCATTGGCCGCCATATCCAAAACTGAGTGTACTGTTTTGCAATGCTGTTCTACACCGTTTCACGTCTATTACACAGACAAAATAAACCTTTTCAATTTCATTAAATGGAAGCATAATAAATACTTAAAGGAGAATATTGGTGCCAGTCATTATCACATATGTGATAGAGCTGGTTAAACATATTACAAAGACCAAAAGTTGTTATATGGGACTATAAGAGGATACCTGACAATTCAATAAAGTAATTAAATGTCATTAGATAAGAGAACACGAGAAAAATAGAAATAGTCCGTACATTCCCTTGTTTATATTTATTCTGTACCTTATAAAAACATGGTAATGCACGGAATTTTTCTGTTTTTCTTTCGTGTTCTCTTATCTAGTGGCAGTCAATTCTTTTTATGAATTGCCAGATATCCTCTCAGAGTCTCACACAACAACTTTTGGTCTTGGAAGGAATTATTAGTGAGCAGAAATTCGCCCATGTATCTGTTATCACTCGTCACTTCGGTCAGTTATATAGAGAGATGACTCGTGTTTTCCTTTGGCGTTCGTCACTTCTGATTCAGGAAACCTGTATTACTCAGCTATCGTAGCAATGATCTCTGTTTTAAAATTATAATTGGAACGTGTTTAATTAGTTCTATCACATATGTGATAATGTCTGACACCAATATTGTCCTTTAACCCAATTCTCGAAGTATACTTAGTGTTTTCGACTAAAATCGTCGATTTTGGACTTAAGATGTCGGTCAACTAGCGTAGTGTCTGTTCTCAAGCGGAGCTCACTGTAGACAACCACCCTTAGTTTAATATGAGTTTCCCCTTGTCAACGGTGAAATACAGAGGACTGGCAAGGACAGCGTCTAGTTGTTCGGATGAAAATCCGCATACCAATGTGAGATAATCTCCCGGCAAGGATTTAATCATTGTAGCAATATTAAAGGTGGTGGCGGCGGCTTGTTTTCTTCTTCTTCTATTAGAGTTTAACATCCGCCTCCACCAAGGGTGATATCGCAGGAGCCACGGTGGCTAAGTTAGTAAGACGATGGCTTGCTTGCCTGGAGGTCGCGTGTCCAATCCCTGCATTGGCCGAGAAAGTTCATCTAGACAGCTGTCTAGTCGTTTGGAAGAGAAGAAAACCCGAGGTCCCGTGTACACATTGGCGTGTACGTAAAAGATCCCTTGGCAGTTGGTTGGATATAAGAGTAGGCCATAGTGCCGCTGTCTGGGCGCAATTTCCATCATGCCACACTATATGGCGTATGCCAGTCTTGATTAGCCAGTCGGAGCAGAACAGTAGGACGTTAAACCCTGTTTCATTTCATTTTCACTTGTGATATCGCAGACTCGCTGTCTTATTTTACAATGCTCAGCGCATGTGCAGTGGTTTTTCCTGTGGGAGGGAAGCGGGGCACCCGGAGTAAACCCACGAGGTTTGAAAGGCGCCCCTATCTCCAAGCTACATACATCAGGGATCGAAACCACGACCACAAGCCAGAGTTCTTCTGCCCCCCCCACCCCACTACTAAAGAACCCTACGCGCAAGCGAATTTATGAAATAAAACTGATCCAGATCTTAGTCCCGAAATGACCTATATTGAGTCGAGTGGACGTTAAACCTCTCTCTCTTGAACTTTTATCATATGGAAACCAAAACAAAAAAATTAAACAAAATACTTATGTTGATAATATTATCGTAAGGTATATATATAGATAGTCGCGATTTATTTTCGTGTTTTGTAAATCAAGGTATCTGAATCTGAGCACATATTTAAACGACCTGTAGAGCGGACCAATGAACTATTTTCAAAACGTTATTCCTTTTAGAGATTCAGCTTTCACAATATTGTAGTTTGCAAGAATTTCCTTAATTCCTCAAATGATGATCAAAGACTTTAAGCCAGAAATATTAATTCAAAAATACTTAAATTCAAATAATTGTGATGGAGTAGGGCTTTATGCAGTCTCTATATTTAAATTTTATCTTAACATGTCGTTTCCGTTAAATACCATTACGGGCACATTTTTTAGTACAGCTCTGTTGCTAATAAACAGTAATTGGAACGTATTTGACTCTGCTAACTGCCCTATGCAGTGACAAATATCGATAGCAGATATTTAAAGTCCCAATCAGAAGGCAAAAAACAAAAAAAATTCTATAGGAAATGGAGAAGTTCTCAACCATAATTGATTCGAGTTTGTTGGAAAATTGAAGTAATTATTTTAAGTGTTCTGCGTGTAGTTCACCCTACCGTACTTGATTTAGAAATCGGGGTGATATATTTAATTTAAATGATTCCAAATATGGAAGAACAATGGTGTATATATATTTATGGTGTTTGATAGTGTTCGAGGGAGCTTGTTATACGTTTGTTGGAGTTTTCATATAATAGCTATAAACGAGACCGAACGTTTGTTATTAATCAACATGATAGAACTAAGACAGAATACATGTATATTGACGAGTACAGGACGAAGACAGAAGAAGCGGTTAGTTGAGCCGTGGGTATTTGCTATAATCACTAAGATTCATATATCGATACTGGAAGTCGAGGCTAAGAGGCCGCTCATCAAGACACCATCACGTCACTGTGGATAACACTCTCACTCGCCAGTATATACATCACCATTTAACTTCCGTATATATCACGTGATGAGAATACCAGTCACAGGAACCAATCATTAATTTTTTATATATACATGTATATATGTAGCCTACTGTTGTTAGCACGTGTGTGGGGAATAACTCTCCCGATATTCAATGACTGATTCGAGGACGCGTATTGATGGAAGTACAAAATGCTTGATAGAAGAAAGACCTAATCTCGTCTTTAGGCTCTGAGTAGAAATGCCAGACTTCTAATGGTAAGTTCAGCTAGCTTATAAACTCATAAGATTAATGAACAGTACCAACCGACTGATGTTAACTTTAGACACCAGAATCTCCCAAGTTAGTATAGAAGGAAAATGAGGAAAAGTTCCGAAGGTAAACTGTATTATATGTTGTGATCTGATGTGGGGTTATATTAAGTGTACAGATTCCAGAAGGTAACTATAACTGTTGACATATTTTTATACTTTATATGTTCATTTAGTTTAATGAAAATGACCCCGCTTGCATTGGCCCTGATTCTATTGTTCAGTTTATATTGGTCCTGGTTCTGTTTACATGGGTCCTGATTCTATTATTAAATGGCACCGTTTGTATTGGTCCCTATTCTATTGTTAGATGGCATCGTTATTCTATTGTTAAAAATGTATAAATCTGTAGCTGTAAATCTACAGAAGTCAAATGAAATGGAGTTTAACGCCCTACTTTTCTGCATCGACTGGGCTAATGTGAAGACGGGCGTTCCCCATTTACCAACGGATTTATGTATAAATGCGTCACTAAAATATGACCTAGAACTTAGTTCGCATCTTCTGTTTGCAAAAAGTTTAATCACGTGGCATCAGAGGCGTGCTTTCCATAAAGTTCCTTTAGGGCCACAAGTGTCACTTGATATGTGTAATGCATTTGAAATGAAATCGGATTTAACGCCCTACCTTTCTATACTAAAGAAGGCGGTCATACATTGCCCTATCATGGGATTCTTGCCGTCTTTGTCGTTTTTCATGGCAATTTTTGTTGACGTTTTTGGACTTGGATCGCAGAAGAGTGTTGGCATGTTCATTTTCTGCCAGATTGTGGTGAATATTCATGAGGCGGAAGGATCGGGCAGTAAACCGACATGAACAAGGGAAATCACCTACTAGAATGACGGCACATCAGTCGATATTTTTATCTGATGACTAGCGGTTGTAGCCATGAACGGGATGTAGTATTACTACGCAACCGGAAGTGGTAGTTCATCGCCACCAGATCTGTTTTACTACCCGGTCCAAGCTATCCCTATACACCAAACTTCGGGACAGACCTAGTGTAGTCCATATCCTGATCAGACAGACAGACAAAGTTATACAAGATATACTTTTTACTGCACCGACTGGGCTTGTGACGATTGGCTTAGGCTATACAGTATGCTAAGATGGAGATTTTGTCCGGACAGCAGTGCTACGGCTTACTCTTATTTCGAATTCCAACTGCTGCGGGGTCTCTTACATGTACGCCAATGTATATACGGGACCTTGGTTTTTCGTCCCATCCAATCGAATAGACACTGTCCATGTCAGGTGTTTTGTGTCTGTTGATGATCACCATTGAGAATATACGTGTGATGACAACCATATCAGAATATATTTCCATCAACTGAACCACAGATAAACAGACTGGTGAGATCTCTTGTCATACCGCTGCCAACTTTCCAATTATGTAATTGTAAATCTTACCGATGAAACGTAAATTGTGTGGGTGTCGACTTCATGTTTGAATACGTCATACGTCATACTGATCGGCTTTATGTAAAGTAATGGCAAAAGATTTCCATGCATGGCAGATTATATACGACAAAATGTCAACGAGATGTATAACACCATTTGACAGATATCCCAACTCGTACAACTGAATCGGCACTGATTTGAGTTTTCACAGAACGGCTTCTATAGTTTCACTGTTGTAGATTTACATGTATCATTTTATTCGAGATATACATTCGTTTGGTGTGAAAGTTTATCGGGATTTTCTGGCGTGGTTCCCCCTAGTCAGTGGTGCAGGACAGAAGGCCTGCTAAGGGACAATGTATATTCGTTCGGATGGGACGAAAAACCGAGGTTTCGTGTACACAGTTGAGTGCACGTAGTAAAAAATCCCTTGACAGATGGAATTCGATGTAAGAGTAGACCGTAGCACGGCTATCCGGGTACAATTTTCCTCATAGCACATTGTATGGCCGGTGTATGCCTGTCTTCATTAGCCCAGTCGGAGCAAAACAGTAGAACGATAATATATTCCAAGTTAATTTCACTTATCGAAAATTAATTCGCTTTAAATTCTACTTTTAAAGTAAACCTTGAAGTGTGATCGATATTTGCATAAATAGGACATGGAACTAAGCGGATAACTGATAAGGAAGAATTTAGATAGTCATGTAGTGTAGACCAACAAACACTATTACTCTGTATAAGACCGTTTATCAACCAGATTGAAATTTGCGTCGCACAATTTCTACGGTAATCATAAATTATAACCTCATTGAAGAGCGTTGCAATCAACTCTATAATTGTAGGGGGTTAGGTAGTCGATTGGTTAACGCGTGTGCGTTCGATCAGAAGATTTGTCATTGAGTCAAGTGGCGTGGTTTCGTTTCCCCGCTTGTACCTGACAAGGAGTAGGGTGGACTGTCCAACCTCATGGGTTTACTCTGCCCCCCCCCCACTGTAAAAGACCCCCACGCGCAAGCGAATTATTGAAGTAAAATTTCACCATATTTGTCCTGTGGTATACTAAACATTTCTCAAATTTTATATTTATTTGCATGCTCTATTTCGAATGTCCACGTTTGAAAAGTGCCAACACATTATTGTTTATATGATCCGCCTATTTTAATTAATAATGAAATAATGATACCAGGTAATCATAGCTAATGAACGATAGACGGTTGATCGAGATTTGACGAATGTAATGTTTGAGCAACCGTGGTGAAGTTTGATGTGATATCTATAGAACTAGATTGCTGTGGAGACGGATGTACGCCATATAGTGTGCTATCAGGAAATTTCGCCTGAACTGCGGCTCTATGGTCTACTCTTATTTCGGATTCCAACCAACAAATGTTCGCTTACGTGCACGCGAACGTGTCCAAGGAACCACGGTTTTTCCGTCTCATTAGAATGACTAAATACTGCCCTTGACAGCCCCCTTCACCGTCTTTCTCAAGGGGAAACCACGCTGGAAAATTCTGGGGAACTATGTCGACCAACACCAGGATCTTGTGATCTCCAATCTACATCTGAACAATTGAAAACTGCTTTTGTCATGTGTCGTAATAACTATCAAACGTTTGACAAGAAGTGTACCCGGGGTCGTATCCCAGACAAAAAACTACTTCACAATGAAATTATACAATGTCAATAATTTATTTATTCTTTGATAAGTTTTCTACGAAAGTCTTTTTAAAGTAAAAAAAAGTATTGTCTAGCCTAACTTGATGAACTGAGTTTTTGGAGTGATTTGACATTTTCATCGGATATTGGTTTAGGTGAAGCGTAAGCGGAATATTAAAGAAGTCTATGCGTAAACCTAAGATCATTCTTTCTTTATCACGTTTATATTTTTGAACAAGTGTCCTTACATGGCTATTACTTACTTAGAGTTTTTATATGTCTGGCAGATACATGGATAATCAGGGGGTGAACTTTAAAAATAGCATGAGTTATACTTATTTATTCATTGGATTTTAATAACAGTAGACCTACTTATAAAACTAGACTACACAAGTAGTTATTTATTTGTTGGATTTTAATAAGAGTAGACCTACTTATAAAACGAGACTACACAAGTGGTTATTTATTAGTTGAATTTTAAATTCAGTAGTTTACAAACCGAGACTACACAACAGGCATAAATGTAATTATAACTTGTAAATAATGGCACAGATTTTGTGAAAGGTCAGAAAATACGTGAGATTACATATTATGGATAACCGTGGAATGGTAGCAGGCAGAGTTTGAATCTGCTGAATGTTCCTACGGTATGCGTTAAGCGTTAACCAGACTCTAGAAGACTCTACACCTTTTACAACGGAGATGGCCGGAACTGTAAATTACTGTCTTGCCCCACCCCCGCCCCCACTTGACTTGCCTCTCTTTCACGGCTGGTTCTGCTGGCAAGTTTCTTGGGGCAGATCTTGTCTGCAAAATCACCCTAGGTGGAAGCCGACGTTTCCCACACTACCGAGTTTTACACGAGACTTTGGTTCTCTTGCTTTGCCACTGGCGAGTGAAAAGATGTGAAAATGAAATGGGGCTAATGAAATGAAATGGGGTTTAACATCCTACTGTTCTGCTCCGAATGGGATATTAAAGAAGGCAACATGGCAAATGAAGACGGCTATACGTCATGCAGTGCAACTGGTTTTCCGTACCATCCAAACGACTTTGGCGTGTACGTAAATGAACTCATATCAGTTTCAATTCGAAATAAGGGTAGACCGGACAGAATATGGCGTATGTCCGTCTTCATTAGTCAAGTCAGTGTCGAAAAGTAGAACGTTAAACCCCATTTCATTTCTTCCTACTCTATACAGTTACTAAAACCTCTATAGGATTATAAACATCATGTTTCTATGGGACGTCAATATTCTTTTAACGTTATCCAAAAAAAAGGTGGACATTACATAAAAATTCTTGTTTTGGATGGAAATTGCATTCTTTATTTTGATTTAAAACAACGGTCTATTTGTCTGATGTCGACGAGATGCGGACAGAATAATGCGTAAAAATGTATTGATGTGGGAAAACGGTATCAACCCAAATAGTTTTTAATGGTGACGGATAATGGTATTAAGGTATCACTTGACCTTAACATGGTAGCCATCATTACATATTTTATATGCACAGAACTAAATCTCCGTCCGCCTAAAAGTGATATAATAGTACACGCCATTATATCACATTAGATCAACACAATTCTAAACATATTTTGGTATATCACGTATGTATGTGGTGTATCATTAGTAGTGTCTGAGTATCCGTTGTCGTGCATAATGTTATTAATTTTTCAAATATGAAAACTGTGACTGCTAATGTCTTCGGACCCAAAGTTAACTTCTAGCCAGTACCCCTGACTTCCGAATTCGAATTCGAAACTATCGCTGTATTTGACGAAAAGTCGGACTAGATGTAGTGTGTGCTTATACGTGTTGGAACTCCCGGTTTTATTATACTGGTGGTTGCTGGAGGGTAATCTTACAATATTGTGCTAATTGCTTGATTTTTTTATTTTGAATTCATTTATGAAGAAGTTTAATTATGAACGCTTGGGCCTAAAACGTTTTACTTTATGATACTTTCGATCATCTCCGGTATAGTCCACTGTTAGAATTTCCAGTCAGATCAATCGCAAAGTATAAAAACCGGAACGAAATCAGATTGGACATAAGACCAGCAATATGTAGTGGGTGTGTGTTAACGAATTCTTTCTGTATTTTTGTTGGTTCTTTAACTAAACTTGTTTTTGTTATTTTCAGTAACCAGTTGTTTGCCTATTGAGAAGACACCGTGAGTTGTAGTATATAACTAACAACAATGTTGACCACGACAACAACAATTCTGTCGCTGTTATTGACTTATCTAAGGTAGGGAATTTTTGTATCAAAGAGAGGGGAGGGGGTTCATAAATGAAACAAATATAGCCACTTATTTAACTTTATATGTAACCGGTTCAAATTTTATTCTTAAAACATGCTAAAACTATACGCGACACCATCTTAAAACATGACAAAACATAACATCATACTAAAAGATGTCAAAAACATAACATCATCTTAAAACATGCTAAAACTATACACGTCACCATCTTAAAACATGATAAAACATAACATCATACTAAAATATGTAAAAAAACATGACATCATCTTAAAACATGCTACAATTATACATGACACCATCTTAAAACATGACAAAACATAACATCATACTAAAAGATGTCAAAACATGACATCATCTTAAAACATGCTAAAACTATACACGACACCATCTTAAACATGACAAAACAAAACATATGTCAAAAACATGACATCATTTTAAAACATGTCAAACACGACAGTATCTTAAAACATGACAGTATCTTAAAACTTTTCAACACATGACATTAATTTATAACATAACATGGCATCATCTTATAAAACAGGACATCGTCTTATAAAACAGGGCATTATCTTATAAAATGACACATTTTAGATGGTGCCAGACAAATGACATCGTCTTATAGTCTGCCAAAACATGCTAAAACATTACATCACCTTAAAACATTACATCACCTTAAAACATGCCATCTTCTTAAAACATGCCAAAACGTGACATCATCTGAAACATGACCAAACTGACATCATCTTAAAAACTATATATTGGATAATAAACAAATATAAAAATATAACAGGTGGTAATTTAACCAATGTAATTATATCTTTTCCTTAATAAAAACTGGGGACCGGGTGGTCGAATGGTTAACGTATGCGCGTTGGATGATAAGATCTGTCAGCGAGTCAAGTGACGTTGTTTCGATTTCCCGATTGTAGTTGACAAGGAGTATGGTCGCCTGTCCAACCTCGTGGGATTTCTCTGGATCTTCCGATTTCCTCCCACTGCTAAAGACAATTAATTATTAAAATAAAATTTAACCAGATGTTAGTCCCGAAATGACCTAGCTTGTGTCGAGTTGACGTTAAACCCCATTTTTCTCTCTTTAATCAGAACTGAAAGCATCTATGTTATCAGATGTTGTGAAAACAATAACAAACGTCCACAGTGTAGATTATGACTGAGACTGAGGTTAATTGTTTGATCTAACTGCTACCACGGTCGACATGCAGTAAGACTGTAATGGCTTCTATCTCTAAATCTGTAAATTATAGCCCAGGAAGACACCATGATGCATTATCTCGTATGAATATGATTTCAATTATACAAGATATGTTGGATATTATTCTCAATACACATTGATTATCATACAGTTCTCTTTATATATTCATTGTATTCACAACAATCAACAGTTGATGGTTTTTACCAAGATTATATATTAAATATTAAAAATCAATATCACCTATTAATGAAATGTTGATTTTGCTGGCGTTACGAAGGTTGGGATAGGAACTGGAAAAATATCAAGACAGCAGTAGGGGAAAACAGATAGCTAATTAATTACATAATAAAATGTTTTATGGAGGAAAGATTGAAAACATTACGACAACTGCAAATCCCAATAGCGTACAAACAGTACATGGACAGCCGATATTTATGGTGGGTAGTTATTTCGGACGGAGTAAACATGTGGTTTATATGATAAGTTATCTTTAATAAAGCTGTATGATTATTTGTGATATGTAGGAGGACAAGACACAGGACAAAACATGGCCAATATTCACCTACCATCATTAAACCAGAATTATTTCCATCATATAAATCACCTGTCCTTGTCTAAAACACGGTCAGTCTATGCGCCGATTTAGGGTCATTAAGTTTGTTTTTTTTAGACTTGCCAGTGCGAGGGGGGGGGGGGGTAGCGTCTAGTCTTGAAAGACCGGAGTCCCGTATTCTCGTTGAAATGCATGTAAACGAATTATTGAAAAGCAGTAGAAATCGCTCTCATAGCACACTGCATGGAGTATACTCGTCTTTATCACCTCGGTTGGTGCAGTAAAGTAGGTTGTTAAACCCTATTTTATTTTTTTGTTTTGGAAATCATGTGAATAACATATTGAATTCGATCAGGTCATGAACTTTACGGTCATTTAATTATCCCGATCTGGCTCTGATTCTGTTCCACAGAAAGGTCAGCTTTACTTGCTTCCATTTTTATATGTCTGGGGATGCAGCTAATTAGGGAACAGAATTTGGAAGTCGAATGGCATTGTTGATGTCCTAGATCTTTCATTCGACTTGTAATGTGCCTCATTCTGTTCAGATAAAAACTATCTGAAGGCATAAGAAGACTTAAGTCCTGTTTGTTAATTTGAATCAATCGCTGAAAGAATTCAGATTAGTGAACATATATTAATATTCACCATCTTAAATGGGAACCAGACATGTCAATTGACTTTCTGAATGAAGTAGAACACTTGGGTAGACATTGCTTCTTAGCTAACCTTATCTCAATGAGTTTTACTAAGACCCCTAAGAGCCGATATGTTAATTTGCCTTGTGAATGTCTTGCATTTTTAAAATGAATAGAGAACAATTGTGTCTCATTTTAAACCCATTGATCAGCCTCTTGAATAATTTAGCGCTATCTCGACTCGGCCTTGTAGAATTTCCTTCGAGAATTTCTCAAGTAATATTATGGCACTCTCAGAAGATGTTGTTAAAGTGCAGGAGGTTGTGGAATTATTGTTAATTAATGAGAGGAAAAGCTTGTAGTCAAAATACAAACCCCCGTGGTTCAACTCGGCAAATTCGCGTAACGACTGTTACCCTCGCATAAATCAGAAACTGTTCATAAATTAAGAGGGTGGGTCTTATGAAGTGTGGGGGGGGGGGGGGCACCAGAGTGCCCAGAGAAAACCCACGAGGTTAGGAAGACGAGGTCCTGAACAGTAGTCAAAATTCAAACCCCCGTGGTTCAACTCGGCAAATTCGTGTAACGACTGTTGCCCTCGCATAAATCAGAAACTTTTCATAACTTAATAGTAAGTGCAGGAGGACCGCACTACACGTAAAACAAAAATCTACACGATAAACCTGCGGACAAGGCAGAGAATAGACATTGCACCAAATAAAAAAATATCAAATCAAGTGAATGGATCCGGGGGCCAACCGTAAGAGTCTACTGCACTGTACAGTCCCGGGCCTGCAGTGTCACAGACTTCACCCAAATTTGAAAACAATCAGAAATACAAAAAGACCTAACAGAAATAATGCGACCAATCTTGACAGAGTGTGAGTGTTATAAAATGGGAGGAAACCTGAGTGCCCAGAGAAAACCCACGAGGTTAGGAAGGCGAGGTAACTCCTTTTCCCTTAAAAACCTGGGGTCGAAACAGTGCCTTCCATATATTAATAAGACTTTAAGTCCACAGTGTCCAGGTCATTATGGACTAGGAAAGGTAAGCATTCTCCGCCTCACGTCCAACAACACCCTCTTTTAATTAAATTGTACTGCTTTTTAAAAAATAGTATTTTATTCTATTGGAGCTCATAGATTGTTTCTTGAGAGCTGGAAATTCATTTCTCTTACTACTTACTAGGTAATTTTTTTGAGTATACCGTAGAATCATGTGAAAACCCACGAGGATATGCTGGCACAAGTGTGGTGTCGAGCCCAAGACACATAAGTAACGTCAGTGCCAACCACCGGGCCCACAGCCGCTCTCGATGGCTCTGGGTAACTTACCTTATGATCTACAGTACGCCTAATTAAGTTATATACCTCACAATAAATATAATTCTGTGTATTCTGATATTCCCACAGAACCAGAGAAACACAGCTGGGTATCTGATGACGATATCTATCTTAACCCAATAACGACCGCCATTAGCTTTATATTTTATCATTGAACTTTAAATGCTTAGCAAAAAAACCCAACCCTTTTTATATCCTCAGTTCTACTAAACTAGATTTCCAACTTAAACATCAGCTAATCTGGTTATTCACTTAATAAAGTTAAAGCTTCCAGTCATGTAAATATGTAACGTTTTATTTAAGTGCTAAAGCGGGGAATCTGCTTTGACGTGTAGTTCTTCATAATTTTTCTGTCGGGAACTCATCGAGGTCACTTATGAATTAGGGCATTATTATATTTGAATAGGTATTATAGATATTGAGATAAAGGGTGTTTTTATATTTATTATTGTTTTGAAATCCCAATCAGCACGTAGAATAAAAGAACCGTATAAATGAAATGAGGTTTAACGTACTACTTTTCTGCACGGTATGGGCTAATGAATACGGACTCTTAATTCGAATTCCAACTGTCAAGGGTTATTTTACGTGCCCGCCAATGTGTAAACGGGTCTCTAAAATAAGAATGGTTGAAATGTGGTTTATTCATCTGAGCTTCTCCTTTGCATGAATTTTACCTTGGACGCTGCCCTACAAAAGGCATTGTGTCTTTTTTTTTAAGGAAACGGAATCGAATAGGCCTTCGAATCAATACCAGGCTGAACTAAGCCTATCTTGTGGCTTTTCTGGCGAGTTTCTTAGGAAACACTTGTCTGCGATAACACCCATGGTGGAAGCGGAAGTAAAACCCTACGACCGAACGGACCCAGGGTCGTCTAGTACGTGAAACAGTGCCATGTGCAAAAAGCCACCGTGGCTCCATGTCTAGACAGAGTAAGTACGACGACCGGAAGTCTGGACTTGAGTTTATTTGAAAATACAAATAACCAATGAAATGCGCGAGGATTAACTCTTGAGTTTGCAGCGTTACCCGTTTCATGTCATTTGGGGAGGGCGTAAACGGTAAAGCACTCTTTAAAGGGGTGGATATACATTTATTTTATAAAATAATGATGCTGTTTTGTTGTTGTTTTTTAAAAATAAAATGAATATAATGTTAGTGTGTAGGTTGATACGAGGCCACGCACAAGCTGTAAACTAAATTATTTAATGTAATAAAAATCATCGGTGCACATTCTA